GGGGGCACACACACACACACACACACACACAATACACACGCGCACACATAGATACGCACCCCCCCCCGTACACAGTACGCGTGCACACTACATGTACAGCCCCAATACACACGCACACAGCCTCGATATACGCACGCACACACATAGATACGCACCCCCCAGTACACAGTATGCGTGTACACTACACGTACAGCCCCAATACCCCCCACACACAGCCCCAATACATGTGCACACACACGCATATCCACACATGCACACAGCCCCGATACACACACATATACACACGTGCGCGCGCACAGCCCCAGTCCCTCCAGCAGGTAAGACGGTTCCTTCTCCTGTCCCTTCCCCTCTGTGCTCAGCAGTGTGTTCCCCCTCCTCCCAGTAGGGTTGTCAACTGTGTCTGAAGCTATTCGGGGAGATTTCTTTTTCCTTAAAATATCCTATTAAAATCTCTCGGATGGCTTTCAGTAGTCACCAGGAGATGGATGCCGATTCTGGTAGACTCCGGGCCAAGTTGAGAGGGTTGGCAACCCTACTCTCCTGTCCTTTCCTCCCCTGCCTGTCACTGTTGCTGTCCCCAGGGCAGGGGAGGGCTGCAAAGCCTCTGGGAGGCTCCAGAGCTGCTCCTGCCCTCTCCAGCTGGGCTACATGTGGGTTAGAGGCAGTGGCAGTAGTGGCTGGATTCCCTTCCCTGTGCCTGTTCCTTGGCTGGCAGGCAGCATGTTGGAGGAGTTGGGGGCAGGACTGGAGCTCCCCCACCCCAAGCCAAAGACAGCAGCAGTAGTGGGTGAGGGAAGGGAGGAGACACGCAGGTGAGCACAGAGGGGAAGGGAGGAGAGGATCCTTACTTGCTTTGGGGAACATAAGAAAAAATAGTCCCTGGGGGCTGCTCCAGTGGTATGGTGACCTGAAATGGGGGTGGGGTGGGGGGTGTCTCTGCCACTTCACGCCCCCGCATCCACCTTTGTAACCTTGTTTCCTTAAGTTAATGCCCTCAGTGTTGGGAAACTGGTTTCTGCACTTCATTATTACAGGACAATAGGGACACAAAAGACTGGTAGAGCTGGAGTGATGTTGCAGTCATGATGGTCCAGGAAATATGTGAGAGGCAAGGGTTTTTGTGGCAAAAGACAAACTTTTGAATGTCGTGCGTCCAGTTCAAGGCTGGAATGAATCGGAAGGTCTCGGAGGGGGCATAGCCTGGGAGAATTGCAGTTCCAGCCTGATACTGGGATCCTTACCAAGGTGCCACCTTTGAACCCTGCCTTGGTGGCTCTCTCTATCGTATCTGCCTTTGGTTATTAGACATCAAGGAAGAAAAAAATTCTCTTTCTTAGCCATCACACCGAAAAACTTCCTTTAACAACTGGGTACCTGTTCTGCCTCCCATCTCTTTTGGGGCTTTTCCAGCAATTAAATACAGAATGTTTTTTCTCTGCTACTCAAAGCCTTTCCAAACAATAACAGAATGAAACCTTTGATCTTTGATGAGTTTCAGAGCTACAAGCTAGCAGCTAGGAAATTAATGAGATTTTTGGTTGACTGTGTGGCCCATCTCTACCAAGTGTGCTGAGAGTATTCATTGTGTGTAAAAGCTGAATTCTTATCTTTATTTTTCCTCAGTAGAGAAAATGATGGAAGGAAATGGAAAAACATCTGTACCTTCAGGTCACTACAGAGTAAGTAGTTCTGTTGCTTCAAACAAAATTGCTTTTGAGATTATCCTGCAGCCCCTTGTATTATCTGCTTGCAAAAACTCCAGGCACTTTGCAGACATTTGTGAATCATACAGGCCTTCAGTTCCCAGGGATGCCATCCCGAGGGAACTGATTTAGTCTAGGCAAAATACAGGGGTCAGTCAGAAGGTAATCCATCCTAACTTTTATCTCCTAAATAAGCCATGGACATGAGGGTGTTTTCACCGAGTTCCTGTCAAAGTGGGCCACAGTAAACTCGGAGATATTCATCAAGACCAGTGATTCTTAACCAAGGTGCTGTGGTGCCCTGGGGTGCCACACAGTGTTAACACACATGAATAGTGTGGGCCTCCAGAGGCTGGGGGGGCATGGCGACTGCCCGCAGGCAGCAGTGGTGTTGGCGGTGGGGGCATGGCGGTGAGTGGGAAGTTCCTGCAGGTGGCCGCAGCGGTGTCGACGGTGGGGAAGGGGGAGAGAGTGGCGAGCGGTGACTGCCCACAGGGGGTGCACCGCCAATCTCGGGGTGCATGTGCACCTGACTGCACCCCCTATGTGTCGCCAGTGTTAACACACTTAGGTGTACAAGCATGAATCACAAGATTAAACTCTGAGACTTCAAATAGGAATTTATAGTGTTAAAAACATTCTGAGCTGTTATGGTCTGAATCCTTTGCAACAGAAAAACTGCTCTGTTATTTTCTTGTAGTAAAAAAAAAAGGGGGAAAATATTAAGAGCTGGCATTTTCTGAGGGGTGCCTTTAGCCTAATGCGAGGTACCTTGAGCCTAAAAGGGTTGAGAACCACTGGGGCGGGGGAGAGAGGGGGCTGCCATTGTTTTGTTTCTAATACCATAGTTGTTTTTGTTTTTAACCCCATCCCCTACATTCCTCTTTTTTGATTCTTAGTTCCTAGCTGCTTCTAGATTCTGGAAATATCAAAATAATATTAAAACTGAAGGCAGCTAGCCACTTACTGAAGGGAGAATCTTATTAGAAACCAGCAGTCAGGCAGCAGGTTGACTTTTTAAGTGATTTTGATTCTGGATTACATTAAGTTTAGTATTCATCTGGATGTTGGATTAAAAAAAAAAATAATACGCTTTGTGCCCCTGAAAGTTAAATAAAGACTAAGAACAGTAGAAATTCAAGTTGTCTGCAAATACAGGGATAGGTTGCTACATCTGAGCTTAAATCACTGCTCTGGTCATGTGCCATATTATGGTCGGAGAGGATTGCCTTTAAGACTTACTCTCAGTCTCTCTGCTAATTAATGTTATATTACATTATATCACTTCTTTGCTAGTTAATGGTCCAAGGCCACCAGTTTCTTTCATAATATTCTTTGAACAGTCTTTGGATGGCAGTAGACTTTAGCTTACTATTGTCCCCAGGGCTATGGACAGAAATTGCATGTAAATCAGTATCGGTGATTGGAGATCAATTCATATCTGTAACGAGAAGTTCAGGGCACGTAAACTGCTTTTAAAATGGCCAAAACTGGTTTAAGAGAAACTTGGATGGATGTAGTATCAGACTTAACTGATTTAGGTTAAATTGGTTTATTGAACATCTGTCCCAGATCGCCTCCAGAATCTAGTTAACTCTGTTATTCAGCATCCCAGGATGTTTTGCACCTCCCCCACAAGCACCCCCTCCCTCTCCCTCCCATGGGCAGGCTAGCCTTGGCCCAAGATGAGCAGGGAGGCCTACTCTGGCGCCCCCCAGCTTCTGGCCTGGGCCACTACAGGCATGTGGCTGCTTTTCCAGAATCAGAAGTTAGTCTGCTCACTTGCTTATCAGTTCAGTATGTGCATCTTATACTAATCTGGGAAGATTGAATTGATTCAGCCTCAGGCTTTTTGACTGCCTGTGCTTAGCTCAGGTGTATTAGTATCTGAACGACTTCATTGTACCATCGAATCTCTGGTACTTTACTCTAATTTGATCCCATGTAAAATGTAACATAACAACACTTTCTGTGTTTTGTTTGCAAAACACAAATAGGCTAAAAAAAGCCTTTTTTTCTTTCTTTATTAAAATCATGTTGAGTCACCCAAGTTAACTTAACCTGATTGGAAAACATATTACGCTTGAACTGCCAAGACAGGTCTATAGGAATTCAATTGTCTAGTTTTTGTTTTGAACTTCATACTTTTATATTCAGGGATTGGATTATTTTCTACAGAAAAATCATATGATTTTTCTGATTTTTTTTTTTTTTTTTTTTTTGGCGATCTGCCAAAAATTACTGCTATCCTTACTTAATTTTTTTCCCTTAAAAAAGACAGTTTTATTTGATTAAAGTTGCAAATGGAAATACATGCTGCCTTGAGTCCACTTCAGTATCTGTATATCAGTTATCCTGGGCACATCTACAGGAAACTGCACATTGGCGGTCTACTGTACATTGGCGCGGTTGGTAAAAACCATGTTAATGCCCTAATGCACAGTGGATTATTCCAAACAGCATTAAGTGTCACAAAAAAGCATTTGCACTAATGCGCAGTAGTGCTGATTATGGCGCATTAAGTAATTACAGTGCATTAACGAGCGTGTATATACACCCACTGTCAATAACAGTGTTTTAGGGTTAAATTGTTCTTGAATGAGATATCTTTAGAGCATTTAGAATGCAACATAATTTCTTTAAATATTGTGTTTTTTCTCTCTATTCTCACCTTAACCTCTGAGTTAGAGATCTGAATTTAATTTAATCAGAAGAGAAGGTATCTGAGAGGTGAATTGGACGCGCACATAAAATTATCGGTACAATAAATTGAGTGGAAAGGTGGGTTTTTTTTGTTTGCTTGGGGTTTTTTTTAACTGATTTGAGATGTAAGGCTAGCTTTCCAGTGCTCCATATGCCTAGTGCTAGGAGCTTCATAAAGAATGTCGCCTTCAAATTAAAATTACAGGTCAGTTTTTCCATGTTTGTCCATGGTCTGAGGGCAGAAAAGATGTTTGTAAATGGTGTGCGGGCCGTCTCCAGATCCCATCCTCGTCGCCATGTGCGGGCGGCGGGGAGCAATCCGGGCCCTTTTTTGCACTGTGCGGGCTGTGGCCAGCAGCCCAGGCTCGCTGGGTCGGAAAGAACAGGCGACACGCTGGAATTAGGCACGGATGCATAATGGTTGATTCAAAGATTGTTTACTTAAACGAAGATGGTTGCAGTGCAGGCAGGAAAACTTGCTTGAGTTGCGGTTACAGACAGGAAAGAAGAGAGGCGGACAAGAGTTCTAAACTCGCGAACTCTAGCCCAATCCGGCTGAAGGCTCTAAACATGCGAGCCCGTCGTGTCAACCGAAGAAAGTACTCGTACAAAAGAGCTCTAATCCTTTTGTTCACTCACAGTTCACTCACACGAAGTTTGCTAGGCTCCGTGGGTCCTTTTTTTGCGTGCAGGGAGAGGGATACGTCGAGGTTTGCAAACGGCAACGGGGAGAAGAATCGATAGGTGATCAGTCTATCGATCAGCAGCCTCAGGACAAATCTCCATAGAGGCACTCTGCAGTGTGCTCAAAGTTCTCCAACTTGGGCGGAAACCACCCAAGCCTTTTATACAGCTAGCAAGCCAATCACAACCGCGAGAAAGCCCAACCCTAGCCCGCCACGTGTGAATAATTTAACACAAGCCAATAATGGGACTCGAATTATCATACAAATGGCGGGAACTCTTTGCACGAGCATTTCCTAGCTGCAAAGAAGAAATGCACCCTGCAAAGAAAGCTACAAATTAGCGGGAAAATAATTCAGTGGTGCCAAAGCACACACAAAAACAAAAATCACAACTTTGGGTTGTGACAAATGGCACTAGGTAAGTTCTTAGCACCTTGTATCATTTAGCCTTAACATGGATAATGAATGTATGGAAGTAATATCCTCTTCTTTCAGTTTCGAATACCAAAGAAGAAACCAAGCAGCAAGCCAGAGGAAGGCCATGTTCAGTCCCCTCTGTCAAGGCTCACAGATTCCCACCATCTGGACTGCCCTTTACAAGAGGTAAATAAAAGCTGCTGTCCTAGATGAAATTTTTTCAGAATCAAATGTGTTAGGAGTGCCTTGTCCATTCCTTGTGTGTTTGAAAATTGCACACCCCCAATCTTTTTATCTGTCAAAAATAAAGTCCCAATATTGGAGCTGCATGACTGTGTGCAGACAATCACTGAATTGGAAGCAGCTCTGCCTGGCATCTGAGATCCTACGTGTGGGCGTTTGTTAGCTTGAGTCCTGACTGAAGTTCAGACTATTAAAAAATCATAAGTTCAGCTTATTTATGTAATTATGTATGTAATTACAGTGCGTTGGAGCAGCCTCGCTGCATGTGTATAGGCGTCTTTTGATTTTGTACAGGTCCTGTTTAGGGCTTCCCCTGTAATCATGAGGGCCAGAGATTTAATGTTTTAAATGAGTTTCTCAGTTAGTGGTTTGACTCCAGAAAGTGGGACTGGATAAAAAGCAAGAAATATTGTGAGATTTGGCACAAGTGTACATGGGTGGATCTAGGATTTTGAGAAGGGGGTGCAGATGGTGTTGCACATTAACACTCATAACAACACTTGTTTCTCCAGTTAGAGATATACTAGAAGCTTTATGCTAATACGCTAGGAGGCTAGCACTAGTATTCAGTTTATGATCAAAGCAAAAAACAAATAGCTATTGGAATGTGCTCTAATTTGCTAGAGTCTGTATAAATTAAAAAAGCAACCCAACAAAACTTGGCAAAAAAGTCAAAGGGTATTGTCCTGTAGTTACTATAGTTAAATGTACTTTTCTTATTCAGATTCATACAGCAAAATCTAGCCTTCTTGAGTATAAACATCTAATTTAGAGAAAGGGGTAGTCAGTAAAGGTTCTGGAAATCATATTGGTTTCACATACACTGTATTTCTTGGGCAAACTGAGTGTCCAGTACTTTTTGCTGATCTGCTGTACATAATCAGTTTTGTTGTTTCAAGTTTGTATCATTGTTCACCCACTCTTCCACCCATCCAGACATTAGTCACCATAATAATTTGTTTTAATTTCATTACTACAATTATTTTTGATTTTTAGTGGAAATTAAGGGCAAGGAATCGGGGCTCTTCTTCAAACAGGAAAAGACAAAGAGACTTTGACAGACATGACTTTGCTGGTGAAAGAGCCATAATTGGGTAAGATATGTCTCTAATCAAAACTAGATCCTATTACTCTTACAATATGCTTATATACAGACTCCAATGGTGGGAGTCTGTATATTGAGTGTTGTCACCTTCTCTTGGAAACAGGTCTTCAGACAGTGATTAAGGACATGCAAGAAGTAGTTTTTTCTTTGTTAGAAAGCCCAAGTTGAGCTGACTAGTTAGAGATGTGTAAAATGATAAGCTTTGCTTTGTTGTAATGTTTTGCACCTGACTGGATCGCAGTGTCCAACTGATATACAAATGTAACAGGAATAATTCATACCTTTAACTTTGATACCCTTATATGTTCAGATTATTATTTCAGTACATGTTGTGTTTATATCTGTATGCATGTCATTCTTATATCTGTTGTCAGTCATAAAAATGTTTAGTTTTATCAACTGTCAAAAAAAAAGTTAGCTAGGCTTAGGTGTTGAGAAATTTTATGTGCGTTCTCAGACCTCTTAAGTGGGTCAATGACATGGCCTGAAATTCTGTATTATACTAGTGGATTTTTTGGTATAGATACATTTCCATCTCTTAAATCTTAAGAGTGAATTGCATAAAAAGTATCTATTCTGCAGCTGTGAGCCAAAGCTTGTTATGAAATCACATGTGAAGGAAGCGAAACTGGTAAAACTGAATATTAGCTGTTGTGGAATCACTTGTTGACCATAGAGAGAGGTAGTTAAGCATATCAGTCTGAGGTTAGCCAGAAGGCAGGGTAGGGTAGCATCTTAGGGTGCTTACAGATGTGGGAAAAAAAAACCAACAGCACTTTACTTTCAGGTCAGTGTATCCCCACACCAAGTGCAGTACATGCCCAGAAGAGGCATTGTGTTAGTTTGACCCAGCTCACTCAACATCTGTATAGATTGGGTGCTTCAACAGGGCTTTTTGGCACTTTTGTCTGATAGCTGGTTTAGATAAACACCAAAAAGCCACACTGAAGTGCCTTATCTGTACAGTTGCTGGGGAGTCAGGTTGAACTAAAGAGTTTCCTCTTCTAGTAAAGTGCTGGTTTTTCTTTTCGTTTTGTTTTTTTTCACATCTGTCAGTGGCATTGGAGACAAACTCATTCAGAAATGCATAAGATTTGTTAGATGCTTTGTTAGATGCTGTAAATACACTAGGAGAGCATCTGATGTAGGCTGCTGCCTGTAAAAGCTTATACATTTCTAAATGAGGTGGCCTCTAAGGTGCCATCTTGTTGACACTAGTTAAGAAGTGTTTTGATGTCTTATTAGAATTAAGTCTACATTATTTAAACAGCTAAGTTGGTGGTGCCCAAGTCTTCTGACTCCATGGGCTGGATGGATGCTGTAGGACTGGTCCACGGGCCAGATTTGGAGTGCAGAGCCATGTCACTTGGCCTGTGGGAATGGAATTTAGTGGCAACAGCATTAACAGCTGCAGTTTCTGGAGCTGTGGTAACCACTGCTTTTCCAACCCCATTTCCAGCCCCATGGGCCAGATGATACAGCCCTAGATCTGGCCTGCAGGTCCAGAAATTTGGTGGTGGCAAGCAGTGGCAATGTTATTTGTTCTGGCTCCTGGAGATGTAGCTATTAATGATGCTGTCTATTGCCAAACCTCAACTTCCAAACCTGTGGGGAGCCCCTTATGCCAGATCTTGGCTAACTAGGCCAATTTGGCTAACTTGGCTAACTGGGGCTAGTACCCCAGTACTAGTTTTTTCTAGTTGCTTCAAGTGCATGAATTGGTATAGAATAAATTAGAAAATTCAACTAACTTAGGAAGTGCCTTCTTTGTAGGAAGATGTTTTATGGGGGGAACAGCTGTGAAGGAAGAATTAGGACAGACACACGCTCAGTGTCATTGGATAAAAGGTGATTCTGCACTTAGACCTCAATGATTATGTGCCCTAAAAAGTATTTTGTGTAATCATTTGGCTTTATGTTTATGCCCTGAGTGCTCCAAAGAGTTGCAGGTAAGAAAGTGTGCTTATCATAACCTGAAGTTAACTTTTTGCTTTTCCAAAGGCATAAAAGTCAGCTTTTGTTTTGATACCACTGAATACTTCTTTGTAATTTAACTACAACAGAACAGCTAGCAGACTGAAGCTTTTCTAGTCCAGTGGTTATCAACCTTTGGTACTTTACGTACCCCCTGCCGATTGACGTGGCAAAAGCAAAACCAGAAGTCCCACTGTGGCACTTCCAGTTTCGCTTCCATGAGCCGAGTCCCACTTTTTCCATTGCGGCCTGGGACAAAGCAGCCTGCATGCATCCTCCCTCCCGATCCCTTTGCACACTGAGGTTGGGGAGTGAAAGCTCCAGTGCACCGGACTTGGTAGGAGGGGCAGTGGCTGGAATTTCTGGCTCAAGCAGGCAAAGACCAAGATGCAGCACCTGCGTACCCCCTGCCCATGTCTCATGTACCCCCAGGGGTACGCGTACCACAGGTTGAGAAATACTGTTAGTCCACCCTATATAACTTAAAAGCTGCAGTAACTGCTGCTAGTGGAACTCTTGTTTCCTGTCTGTGTATTTCAGTGGGGAGTACTTGATGTCCACTATTGATTCAATGACATGTTCTTGGACTGTTGCAATAAACCTTTTGAACTAGTTTTTGACTTCAGAAGGCTTAAGGGAAAAAAAAAGGTACACTTTGGATTGGATATTAGGTTACTCTTTCACTTTCTTTTTGAGGTATTGATGTGTACTCACGGGTTAAATATTTTTCCCCAAACTCATGCAGATATATTGATAAAAAAGGTGATTTAATTGTATAGTAAAGTAGCAAATAAGCTATGCTTTTTTTTAGATTTTAAGAGTAATATTTATGGAGAAATATTTATCCTGTTAAATGAACTTCACCACTGTCTTCAGAGAGAGCCTCTCATGAATGTTTCACTAAAATATGCAACTTTCCTCCCAATGGATACAATCAGGATTGTGCTTTTTATTGTGTGACCAAACTGGGGGGAGGAGTGGGGATCATGGACTCTAAGGGAATCAGTATTTGTTTAAACAGAAGATGAATACTGACAAAAGTAAGGAGGGAAAATATAAAATAGAATGTTATATATCTGATGTAGAAGTTTTTCCACTTAATTTCCCCCCCAGATGTAAAGATACAACTTATAATAGACTATAACTCTTAACTTTAGAAGGAAATAGATATTTACAAAAGGTAAAATTCTTTAAGACAGTTATCAGGGTCTGGAACTAGAAATTATAGATATCAGAGCTATTTTTCTGGTTCAGGCTTTTAGTTCTCTCTCTTGGGAGAAGTTTTGTAGTAATATGTGGACCTATTAAAAAAGGTGCATGATGTTTCTGTCACCTGTTATTGTAAACATTTAACTGGAGTGCACGTCACTGGGTGAGGTCGCAACTTGAAGAGTCAAAGCTTTGTGACAACACTATCAGTTACCTGTCAGCCTCTTTGGGGGATAATGATTCCCTGGTCCCTGTGGTTCAAGATGACAAGCATGGATGCTTTCTTGTTTGTTGTTGAAGTTAAAGCATCCACAGTCTGAATTCTTAACTGCAAGGCAGCAGTGCATTCTTGGAGCAGGGGAAGGAAAAACACAGGCTTTTTAAATCATCAGTGCGCTCTGAACATGCTCAGTGGGTTTCCCCTTAATTTCATAAATGAAAAGTCTCATTCCCTTGAACTCAAGAGGGCACAAAGGGACTTTGTGACTTCTGCATGTAGGTCAAGAGCTCAAATGACTAAATTTAAACAGCTTGTCAGCCACATCATTTTGAAGGCCAGCAGCACCAGATAGTTATTCAGATCTCTTATGTTGTACAGGTCAGTCGTATCATACATGCATTTAACTTACGCGAATTCAACTATATGCGGGGTGGGAGTGGGGGTGGGGCCTGAGTTTGCATGCAACGCTGCTGCTTACCTGGAGGCCCATTATGGCGGTGACAGCCACTGCCTCCAAAACCTCCCACTGTCACCATGGAGCCATGCCCGGAGCTGTGTGGCCAGCCACTGGTCGGCGGCCCGCAGCCAGCCCCACCACCACCCCGCGCTGCGCTGCTGCCACCGACCACACAGCTCTAAGCACGGAGCCGTATGCAAACTCAAGCCCCGCCCCCCTCCCACCCTGTGTATAGTCACCGATTTTCGCCTTACGTGATTTTCACCTTATGCGCTGACTTCAGAACCGAACCCCCGCATAAGTGTTGCACAAATGGCTAGTTTCGTGCCCCTGGAGGCTTGTCCAATCCACCCCTAGGAGAGAGTCACACACACAGGCTGGGGCCCAGTTCAGATTTATTGTTTGCAAACAAGTTCGACAAGGGAGCTTAATTTACTCAAATCCGTGTCGACCCCAAACAGAGTCTGGGGTTCCTTTTTATAGCTAACATAAGCAAAAGATTCTAACATGTCGCGTAATTATTGGCAGCCCAAGTATTACGTCTTACAACATATGTCTAGCAGGTACATGTTCTATGATGGTTTACATACATGTCTCATTTACATCTTAAATCTCCTCCCTGGGGCCGTCCTTAAGTCCATTTCGGTCATTCTTCGGTCAAGGTCTGAGTTCTTCACATCAGCATCTTTCCCTGTCCCTCTTCTCTTATCTCTCGTAAGGAGTTATTTGTTGCATCTGTTCCTGGCTATGTCTGCAAAAGTCTAGTGCTACTCGTAAATCTATCATTGGCCTACATACCTTAGCAGAAGCAAGTGTGATAATATGCAGAAGCAATTATGTAGTGAAACTAAACAGTTCTCAGTTGTGAAGCCTTTGTGTAGGGAGATGAGACATTTTTATCACACAGCTGCTACACAAACGTTATTGCAAAATCATAATGACTAAATTATAACATATTTTTACCACATAAGATGCATCTCCACTGTACTGTTTTGGGATCCTGACGTGGTGCATGGACTCCCTTCATTGAAACTTATGTGGTTTGCAGAATATATTATAGAAGAGTTCAGGTTTGCTGGTGGTGGCACAGGCTTGAAGGAGGGAAAAAGGGCTTTAATCATCAGCCCAC